TTTCTATTGTCTACATCTATTGTTAAATGTCAGTCTCCATCTGCTGAGTTTAAACCTGCCAGCAAAACCTCCTCCTTAGTCTCCATCAGCAGAGTTTAAATCAGGCTGCAAAACCTCCACCTCAGTCCCTATCTGGAGAGTTCAAATCAGGCTGTAAAACTACCATCTTAGTCCAGTTCTGCAGAGTTTAAACCAGCTTGCAAAACTCCCTTCTCCCTCCCTTTCTGTAAAAAAATAACCCATCCAGCAAAACCTCCACTCAGTCTCCATCTGCAGAGTTTAAACCAGCATGCAAAAACTCCACTTCCCTTTCCAACTGCAGAAATTAAACCAGCCTGCAAAACCTTCTCAGTCCCTACCTGCGGAAAATAACTCAGCCAGCAAAACCTCCATCCCATTACCTTATTGCACAGTTTAAACCAGCCTGCAAAATATCCTCCTCAGTCCACATCTACAGAGTTTAAACCAGGCTGCAAAACCTCCATCCCACTTCCTTATTGCAGAGTCTCTACCAGCCTTTAAACCTCCAGCTCATTCTCTATCGGCACAGGTTAAATCAGGCTGCAAAACCTCCACCTCCATCTCCATCTGAAGAGTTTCAACCAGCCTGCAAAATCTCCAGCTCATCCCTTTTTACAGAATTTAAACAAGCCTGAAAAACCTCCCCAGTCCCTACCTGCAGAAAACAACCAAGCCTGCAAAACCTTCTCAACCCATACCTGCAGAAAATAACCCATCCTGCAAAACCTCCATCCCAGTCCCTTACAGCAGAGTTAAACCCAGCCTGCAAAACCTGCACCTCAGACTCCATCTGCAGAGTTTAAACCAGCCTGCCAAACCTGCACCTCAGTCTCCATCTGCATGGCTTAAACAGGCCTCCAAAACCTGCACCTCAGTCTCCATAAAAGAGCCTAAACCAGCCTGCAAAACCTCCTCCTCAGTCCCCATCTGCAGACTTAAAACGACCCTGCAAAACCTCCTCAAACCCTACCTGCAAAAAAAACCCAGCCTGCAAAACCTCCATCCCAGTCTATATCTGCAGAGTTTTAACCAGCCTTAAAAACCTTCTCAGTCCCTATCTTCAAAGGCAAACTCAGCCAACAAAACCTCCACCTCAGTCCCCATCTACAGAGTTTAAACCAGCCTGCAAAACCTCCTCCTCAGTCCCCATCTACAGAGTTTAAACCAGGCTGAAAAACCTCCTCAGTTCCTATCTTCAGAAAATAACCCAGCCTGCAAAACCTCCTCCTCAGTCCCCATCTACAGAGTTTAAACCAGGCTGAAA